GACGAAAATATTTGTATATACAAGTATTTGCTCGACTCATACAAAGTACACGGTTAGAAATTTGTTGCGTTAATAACTCAATAACTATAAGTGGTATCGACAATCAGAAAAAAGATCCTTAAAGAGGAGGAAATTTCTGAAAAAAAGTCTCGACTCCCGGAACTCTAGCTCCATAAACAATAATTTTTATTTAATGTTGAAAATGGGTTTCCGCGCGGCTGCTGTCCAACTCGGGCCTCGATGCGCCCGTGTGTACGTCAAGCAAGTTCAAAAACCAAGAGAATGATTTACTTGGATTAAGAGGTTTTTTTCTTCACTTAAGTTGGTAAGCCTGTTGAAACTAGGGAATAATTGCTTAAACCAAGATTGACCAATACAAGAAAAAAAATTACTTAACTCAAGAATATATTTTATCTTCAGTTGAATATACTTGGATCAAGTAAATATTACTTGACTCAAAATGACTTTTTTTTTCTGTGTATATTGATAGAAACAATGCTTTTTTTCAGTGCATCCCATACAAAGTTGCCGATGCTCAACAATGTCCGTTCATTGGCCAAGGCACGGCTGTTAATGCTCGGCCAAGTATCGGCGTTTTGTATCAGCCTAGCCTCGGTAAACCATCGGCTTTAATGTTCGGCCAAGCATTGGCGTTTTGTACTGGCCGAGTCTAGGTAAGCTATCGGCTACCGCATGATATTTATTATAACATAATGGTATGTGATTTGATTATCAGCCATTGCTTGGCCGATGCTCTGGTTAATTGTTTATTACACTTGAAAACAATTAATATACGTGTTAGTCATGACTATGTTGTATTATTGTTTTAATTTAACGTTTGACCAAATTATAAACTAATATGTACTAAAAATTAGTAAATCAATTTTTAAAAAATATCTAACGAGATTTTTTTTAGGAGAAAACACCAATTTAAATTATTAACAATGCTTTTTTTTTATAAATATCATATTGATCATTTTTTAGTTTTTAATAAACATTTTTATTATTCAACAAGCTCTATTAAGATTAAATCAACATTTGTTTTCACTAAAACAGATTTAATAAGTAATGAATATTTTTTTGGAGGACTTTTTCGATAAATTTTTACATTACCCAATCAGTTAAACCTATTTCTTTTAGTATTAAAAAAAAAATATTTTAGCAAGAAACTAATGATTTTTAATAAATGATTTATTTACTTACAAATAGGTTTATGAATATAAATAAAAATATACAAATATAAATATATATATTTTTTCACTAATAAATCATTTATTTTTAATTAATTTTGAACTTTTTGCTTAAAAAATGAAGTTTTATAAAACTAGGAAGTTATTTTTTATTATTAAAATTCAGAAATTGTTTAATTATGAAATAAATAGAAAAATTCGTAACAACAATCAAGTCAACTCAATTATACTGAGAAAAATTGATTGATGAACATTGAAATGATTAAACTAAGAACACTACACTCAGATCCGTTAGCAGCGCCCGGGACACCGCTCGAGACTTCCACGCAGACGGACCAGGTTCAAATCCCTTCACATCCCGATTTTTTCAGAATTAGTTTCTATCAACCAGTAGTCCATCAGCTCAGAATAATAATAATTCAAAAATAAACAAAAAAAAAATTTTTTTAATTATTTTACCTAAAATTTGATTTTTTGCCTATGCTTGGCCGATGCTCGGCCAATGCTTGGTTACTATGTTCGGCCGATGATCAGTCACCTATATCGGCTGGGCGTTACCATCCGATGCTCGCCCAGTCTTGGCCCAACGATATTTCACGATACTCGGCCGATACTTAAAGATCGGTTACCAGCCTTGGCCCAGTATCGGGCCGATCTTCATTTTTTGTATGGGATAGCTATATTATTTTATCGTTGTACATAGACTGTGTTGAAATAACACTAAATTGGTGTTATAAAAGTTATCATTACATGAATTTTTATGTTAAATTTGACGAAAAATTTTTCATTCTAATATAGATAGTAACTTTTTACATGTACAACAAAAACTTAACACATAGTATTCTGGCAGAATCATCTGAAAGCTTTACAACCCGTCTAACGAATTTGTTTCAGCACTTAAGTATTTTGGAAAAAAGTTAAAACTTAATGATCGTGAGGCAACTCTTTATCATTGAAATTTATTTGAGAGCTTTCACTTGAATCATGTTTCTTGCTTTTTGGCTGAAGACAACTCGCATTACTGGATTCACTAATTCTTTAAATTATTTTTGTCATAAGAACCCAATATTTCTCCGAAGTGGAATTATGGACAAAAAAGCTTAACATTAACTTGAAAATAAAACAGGAGATAAGTACGTATAATATATATGTCAAGAATAAAAGAACCGGCAATTTTCCAAGAATATCATTTAAATAATGAAGTAAAATTCGATTTGGCCAGCTGGGGTGTTTTAAACCGACTTTAACTTGGATTTTCTCCAAGAGATTCTTCCTTTCCCAGTTTCTTCTCATTTTCTTTTCTATAAGCTGTTATGTATATATATATATTTTTTTTTGATGCATCTTATTTATTCATTTATGTTCACAATTTCATTTCTTTTACTAAAGTTTATGTTTTCCAGGATATACTCAAAAAATTAAGAATATCAGAGAAAAGCAAAAGTTGGATTACTACGTGACTATAAATTCTCTACAAATATTTGAATTTTTACAATAATTCTTGTTATTCCCGAACAATAAATGTTTATATCGAAAAAATATCACAAATAATTGATTTCTCATCCTCAATAAAAATACACATGCGATTTGAGCGTATTAATGAAAAAGTAGCTAATTATCTTCTATTAAATTGTAAAAAAAAAAATGTTTTTTTCATAATAATTAAAAAACCAGTCGACTCATTTCCGAAACTCCTAAAAACAAGACGATTCACGTTACTGCAATTCATGAAAGTTCATTATTTTCTCCAGCACCCCTCTTTCTTCCATATATATAATTTGCGCAAGTCATTTGTTAGACATTTATGTTTGAATTAGAAATAATTATTTAATTTTATCCTTGTTCATTTTTAATGTTTCAAATAATAATTCGGACTCCAGGGTAAAATTTTAACGTTTTTGACATTTACACAGTAAAAAATTTTTCGTCAAATTTAACACAAAAATTTATGTTGATGACTTTTTTTTGCACAATTTGTGTTGAATCAACACTCTATTGTGTTAAATCAACATACTAAAATGTTAAATTCTACACAAAAATTTTTACACTTTACACAATGACGAAAAATTTTTTACTGTGTAGATATAGATATACAAACGATAAGTGGATTTTAGTTTATTGCTAATTATAATTACACAGTAAAAAATTTTTCGTCAAATTTAACACAAAAATTTAATGTTGATGACTTTTTTTACACAATTTGTGTTGAATCAACACTCTATTGTGTTAAATCAACATACTAAAATGTTAAATTCTACACAAAAATTTTTACACTTTACACAATGACGAAAAATTTTTTACTGTATACATAGCTTTTACTACTATTCAAAATGTCATTTTTTTGCTAGATGATTGTTAAATTGTAGCATCAATTTATTTATTGACATCAAGATAACACAAATTAATTATTAAAATTTCGATTTCAGTCGTTGACATAGTATTTATTATCTAATTTATTATTATTTATTATAATTAATTTTTTTCCGTTTATATTGTGATAGAAAAGAATATTCATAATTTTATTTTTATTTCTATAGAAAATTTGCATTCACAAACCATAATTGTATTTTTCATAGTTGAAAATCTAAATTAATGTTCTGATTAAGCATACACATAAACTAATTGAATTTTATAATCAATGAAAACTAGAAATACGGGCAAGCTCAATCAAAGAGATTAAATTAATCCGAATTATAGAGTATATACCGAGAAAGTTTTCGCTGATACTGCATCAAGAGTTGTGATTGAGATGCATTAATTAACAAGGAGGAATAATCTAAACCATTGGAGAATATACAGAAACCAACTAAACTTACTTACCGTAAAAGATAAGACAACTTCTTAATCTCGTGTCGTTGGCTCACTGAAGATAAGACTAAAGAAATCTGACCTCGTCATTTAAAACCAAATGGAAAATGCATTTTTTTTTGTATTCTTATATCCGTCCTCTTTTCGTTTATTCTCAATTATAATTGTTATGATTATTGTAATTGCCCTCTTTTTTTCTTCTTTCTTAATACTTCAATGAAATTCCACGAGAATGGAAATTGAGCACTTACCTTGATTGCATAATCTTATTTTAAGAAATTGCCTTCCACGAAAATCGTTGCATTCATGTTCCATCTACTAACATGGTGTTATTAATAAACATCTGATGTATTTCGAGGTAAAAAATGATTTTTCTTAAATATTTTATTCGTCTGATTTATGTTTTCATATTAGGTATTTTTTTTTGTTCTTGTCTAAAAAATAATAAATTTATAAACAAAAATTATGATTTATTAGCTCGTAGCGCAGTAAATATAGTAGTGACCAAACTGTACTGATACAGTTGGGACAAGGCTTTGAGTGAAAGTTACCAGCGCATGCGCACAAATGAATTCCGTTAAGGAGGGAGGAAAGCTTGGACAGGCCCAAGATTTGCTATACTCTACAACTCATTAGTCTACTATTAGCCCTACTGAGCGCCACGTATTCTAATATTTACTACCCAAACGCTTTAGAATTTCTACACGTGTTCACATATTTTTAAATTTTATTTCACATCTATTAATATTTATATCACGCTGTTTTTTTTGTGTAGTCAATTTTTACAGTATTACTTTAATAAATTATAATTATAGTTTCACTTTGTGTCATTTATAAAGTGATACTTTTGTCAATCCTAACCTCAATCCTAGTGTTTTTACTATTATATTTTTACCACGTGTTTTTGAAATTTTACTTTCATCAACATTTGTGTTCATATTTGTGTCTTATAAACTGTAATTATTTATTAATTGTGATCATTAAAAATTATAATAGTTTTTCTCAAGTTTTGTATTTTTCAATAATATTAATAATGGATGTAAGCATGCAAGCTATTGTAAAAGCTCCAGGATCCCAGGATCTTAAGGAGAAATTTAAAATAATTTCTAGTGTTAGCGACTGTATTGTAATGTTTAAAATTAGGTTTATGCTTAGCAATATTGAAGAGTACAAGGATTTGAGTGTAGTTGAAGAAAATTTGCGACCTCTTATTATTGAGTTCAAGAATCTAAAAATTCAATTGGAAATCGTAGAAGAAATGCTAGTTGAAAAAATAATAACTCCTTTGTTAGCCACGATGGCTGAAATAATCATTGAACGTTCTAAAAGAATTTTTGATGATTTTTGGCAAACAAAGTATAATAATTTGATGGAAAGTATCACTCATCCAAATATTGAAGCAGGTTGTAGATCGGAGGCAGTAGTGACAATTGGTGAAGTGTTTTTGAATGAAGAGCAAAAGACCTTTGATTTTTTTAAGTCAGCTAAAAAATTTTTAGAAGATTACTCTGAAAAATTAAAGGGATTCTTGCAGTTAGCTGAAAGCAAGAAGCTGCGACTTGCTTTTCAAAAAGCAATAAATTTGCCCATCAACACACTTACTGTTGGCAGTGGTGATGAGTTGATGGAAAAATACAAGCAGTTGAAGCTTGTATTTGAAAAGAAGGCTCCTACTGGGATTGAAAGTCACCCAGGAGGAGTCGACTTTTGCAAAAATTTATTCGCACAAGCAGTGTTGCAGCAGGGTGAAAAGTTAGTATCTAATAAGCCTGAGATGGCTTTCGGCTTGGCTGCATTAATCGTAGCCCTTTGCAGCGACTTCCCTGATCTCACGGAGCTTCTTCTTGCATACTTCAGGACCAGTTGCCCGTATCTCTGCCCGATTATTTTGGACCAATCTGACGACCAAACTGAAAATGACTACAAGAGAACTCTAGGTTACAAGATCATAGATGAGACCGTTGAGAAACAGGGCCATTACCTCAATAGGATGTCGGGTATTATTAAGCTCTACGCAGCTATAATAGTCGCGAAATTGAGACACAACGAAAATGGTTACCATCCTCATGGTCCGGAGAATGCTTGGCGCTTGTTGAACGCTATCTTGAAGTGCAAGCCAACTCCAGAACATGTAAACGCATTGGCGACAGTAATCCGTGACATTCTTCAAGTTTGTGGCCCTGCAATGGTTGCGGAAAATCCGGAAGAGTTTAATAAATTATTTAATAAAATTTCAACTGATTATTTTTTGAATTTACAGGAAATCGGAGCTGAAGGACCCATTGGAAGGTTGAGGATCCTTCTAGAGGCATTTTCAACGGATGGCAGCTTCCCAGAACCCAAAGGACAGTTACCTAATAATTTTTGGTAATAATAAATAATTAATCTAGTTTGTAATATTTAATGATAATGGTAATTATTTTAAGTTTTTGTAATTTAATCTTTTTTATGATAGTGTTAAGATGCATGTTAGTTTAAGGTAATGAGTGTGATGACAAAGGCCGGCTTGGCCGCTAGGGATATTTTTTATTCGGATGTAGCTCTGATAATCATTCACTTGAAAAATATTTCTTTGGCTGTTGGCCCTTGAAGTCATCTGATAGTTTAAATCAAAACTTAAATATATTTTTATTGATATTTTTTATAATTAAAATAAATAGTCTTTTTGCTTAAAACTTTTTTATTGTCACAGTGTCATAATTAGCAATATCATTAACAATTTCATTTTAAATTACAATCATAATAAAAATAATTGACGCCTGAAATTCTTGTATTCTCTTACAATTCTCATAGTTATCTCAATTTAATTTAAAACAAAATCTCTTATGACTTAATGGACCATTTTAATTACGTTAATCGGTCGTAGGTACCAGAACAAAATTATAGTACGCGTTGTGTTTTTCACTGAGACCGCAATAATTTTCAGGAAAGTACCTATACCAGAAGAGCCCGTCATGTGTCTCAACCAGATTAATTATTATTATACTCTTTAACTCTTGCCTCCCACTCTTTTTAATCCCGACTTTCTCTGTTGAGAAAGAGTACCCTCTAAAACTCTTTGTACCGTCATATATATTACATTATGTACTAAAAAACTTAGCGTTTCGCATATAAATGAGCTTCGTCTACACCGCGAGAAAAAATGTCCTAAACAGAATGTAAATTGTAAAGTATGTTATTTTAATCCTAATTTACACTTTCATATATTCATTTATTATTTAAATTTAAATCTGAAAAAATACAATTTTCTTACTATTACGTGTTGCCGTTAATTACATATACATGTATAGACTTAATCTATTTAACTCGATTATCAATAAATCTAGACAATAATAACGGATAAATTCGATACGAATGGACAAAATCGCAACGCCATCACGCATTGTCACATTGTTATATTTATTTATTACGTATTGAACAATCTATGTTTATATAAATCCTTGTAAGTCTATATATAAAATATCACTCAGAATCGCAATAGTTTTTTGCACTCACTTAAAAAAGCTTATTTCAACGTAAATTTAAATATATTTAAAAAATAAGTTCGTCTTCATAAATTATAGCACACTCATACATTTTTTGTCTCAATCCTATTCACATAAGTATAAATATATTTATTTATTCCTTTCATAAATATTTGGTATTTATCTATAACATTAATTGTATTTCATCCATCCTGGGAAAAAAAATTATGTAAAATCACTTATGACAGGTTAATGTGCTATTATCTAATCACATTCAAAAAAATATATATTCATGATTGTATTTTAACGTATAAGAAAACCGTCTATTTATAATAACATGTGATCGTTAAAAAATATGGCTTATATATGATTATATAAGAAAATCAGGAACATTTGACAATATCTGATCATATCTGATCTCATAAAAATTGTCAAATATAGTCACATTAGCACAGCATTCATTTACAATTAAATCCGATTATTTCAAGATTTTTTTCAACACATGATTATATGTGATCATATGAATAAATATTTAACATGTAATGATGAAAAATAATATGTATTACGAAGTAAAGACATTCTTCATGTCTAGTTGCATCGGATAATAATATAAAAGTCGTCATATATGCCCATATCTGAAGATATGAATAAATTCTTAATATCTGATATAATAGCAAACCATTATTTACAATCATACATGACAAGTAAAAAAAAAATCGATCAATTACACATAATTTTCGACAAAAATTGCATTCATATCTTTACATGATAAACTTTTACGTCTATACCTCATCATATCAATCTATGATTAATAATCAAACACAATTTTGTCCCCAGGTTATTAATACTTTTCACATCATCCTCTAATATACAATATTCAGCAACTACCATTCTAAACGGTGTAATCCAAAATACTTGCACCTATATCTAATTAATAACCTATCTAGCCCTTAAGTATTCATATAATTTATCAAAAAAATGCGTTTATTTACACGAGAAAAGTAACATAATTGAGTCACTCGATCAAAAGATCGTCAGTCGGTTCAAGCACCAGCAATATCAGCAAAATATCAGTAGCATCAAAAATTAAAGTACTCTAATCATAACCAACATTTCCTCGTGTAACTCCTATCATAGTTTAGTGCCTTTACCAACTTCATTAGTGACTTCAAGGGACACTTCTTTTAGTGCATCAAGCTTTCGCATGTAGGCAACAGTATTCTGTTCCAGTTTCCCTGGATCAGCAACACCGCTGCTGTTCAAATTCAGTTTGAACTTGTTGACCTCTTCATCAGTATCATCAACAGAAGTCATAGAGCCATGGTACGCTGGATTGCTAGCTTCAGTATCATTGTCCCCGAGCCTGCGCGATTCTGCGAACAACCTTGGTTTTCCTGGCATCAGTTTTGACAGCTTGAGCGCAAACGGATGCAGAAGGTGCTCTTCGTAAGCGTCCTCTTTCTCATTTGCGGTCAGAAGACTGACGATAGTCCCAACAATTATAGTGGTCATGCTGCCGATGAGTGCGTAGTACATATAGGTGATACTGTAAATTACGTCCAGTGGGCCAGAGCTGCTTCCAAGGGAACTGGAGCTAGTAGGTTGACTAGCTGATATAGCTAAGTCAAGACTCACAGGAGTCACATCTATGGGAATATTTGTCAGTGGTCTGCGTAGGTGTGAAGAAAAGGAGTCGTTTGTGCAGCCAGCTACTGACAGAGGAAGAGTTTCAGTTTCATCAGTGACCGATAGATGGCCGAAGGTTAACCAAAGGGACATCAGATGGCTTAAAATTACACCTGTTGCCGCTCCCTTCCAATTTGCACAAGGGACCAACATTGCCAAGACAAAGACACCCAGCAGAGGTCCAGATGTTGCCGAAGTCATCAACATGGAGGACTCTATCACACCTGACAACATGGCGACTAGGAAACTGGCGCCTACTATCAGGATTCCGTAGATAACTCCCACCAATTTGATGATCCTCAACTGCTGTTGGTCTTTCAGGTTGCTCAGGGCGGGAATTTGGCTCAGGAAGTCCTCGAAAGTGACTGTGGCCAAGGAGTTCAGATTGGATACGGCTATCGTCAAAGCACCGTTGAAAAGTGTCGCCATCACCAGACCTAACAGGCCTGGAAGGTAGGTCAGCTTGTCTTCGACGTAGAAGGGGACTATTTCGTCAAACTTTGAGATGTATCCTGATTGGTAGGGATCGCAGTCGGCGTAAGCGGCAAATATCACCATACCCACGACCCAGGACAGGGAGAAGAGGATTGTTATGATTGGCATGTTTGCCATCATCGTCCTGGAATCATTTATGAAGATTAAAGCTTGTGAATTAGTGATGATGATGGTGATGGTGATGTGGTAGTGGTTTCTGGATTTGTTGAAGGGAAATTGACGTGAAGGATTTTTCATTAAACATTGATAAGGATCGATGTAGTCGGCTTACAATTAGTGAACTATGCAAGAGGCTTGGTTAAATGCAGTTGGCTTATATAACATGGTACTTATATGCGGAAAAATTTTTTGCATTCTGTTAATGAAGTTTTCTGTGGTAATTTTGAAGCTTTGATAAACAAATTTTTTAACTTCCCGCTAAGAAAATTGAAAATTTTCAAAAATCGGGAAGTTAATGGTTTTACCCCGTTTTACAAAAATCGAGTTTTCATCAGATCTCGACGTTTGAAGGTCACAGGAAGCTTCCCTGACTATTTTTAAGATGATGTCCGTACGTCTGTATGTATGTATGTATGTATGTATGTATGTATGTATGTATGTATGTGTGTGATTTTTTTTTTTTTTCCTTTAGGGGGGGGAATCCTTTTTACGGATTCTAGGCATAGTTGTTGGCCTGGATATGTGGCGACTCGACGCAGCGTCATACTAAAACTCGACGCTAACGCCCCTACCCACTAAACCCTAAACCCCTTTCCTCTTTCCTCTAATCCCTCATGGAAACCGCCGTCAGGCATTACTTCGTGAGGGGAGGATCTAGCTACTGCTCTTCCTTCTGGTGGCTAAGGTGTTAACTACCTTCCTTTCTATCTTCTGCTATTTGTCTTCTTCTTTCGGTGGAACACAAGTCTTTGAGGACTTCTGTTGCAAACGCGTTGGTAGCGTTCCAGGCAGCTTCTGACGACAACATTGCCTCTACTATTGACTCTGGTTGGGTTCTCTTCTTCAGAATCTTCGCTAACTCATTGCGCTGTTGGTTGAAACGTGGACACACAAAGAAGACATGCTCCGCATCTTCAGCAACTCCTGGGCAGATCGGGCACTCCGAAGAGTCATCGTGCTCGAAGCGGTGTAGATACTCTCGGAAACACCCATGTCCCGACAACATCTGCAACATAAGATAGTAATTGACCTCACCGTGATTCCGGTTAAGCCAAATATCGATCCGAGGTATGAGACGGTGCGTCCACCTACCCTTCTCTGCAGCATCCCATTGTAATTGCCATCGGCCTATGCTATTCTGCCGTTCTTCAATTCTAAGTTCTTCAGGGCTCAGTGCAGTTGACTTTTTTCGTTGGTAAAGGGCCCGTCTTTCCTCTGCTAGAATT